CTTTTGTCAGTGAGAGGTTATAAGTGTCTGTAAGAGAGGAAGTGTGTCAGTGTTTGCTTATCTTAATTGGATAATTAATTGACTGAGACATCTCTGATTTGCAGATAATGAGGTGTAAACTGTGAACTACCTAGTGTTTAACTTTCATTTCATTGAAGACAAACAATATTATTAAAAGAATTAATAACTCTCAAAACATTTATTTCAATACAGAATGATTTTGTGCTATTAGTTAAATTACTTAAAGACACATTTAATTTACATGTTTTTTTAACTAAGACTTCGTTCTAATTCACTTATTTTCTTGAAAAAGACACATACAGGAATGTTTAATGTGTACTGTCAACATACGGGCAGCCCAAATATTTCTAATGAAGTAATTCACAATAAAATATTAAATAATTTTTGCAACAAGTCAATAAATATGGAGATTCAGATCCAAGGTTGAAAGGAATCAACTTTCCATGGTAGAGAATCCCTCATTTGGGCATTTAGTGAGACTGTTAGCCAGAATAAAACCTTAAAAGAATCTGCACTGAAACTGCAGGAACACATTCAAACTTCAGTGGATAACATCAACACTTACCATTTAAATATTGCATTGATATTTGAAGGGATAAAAACTTGGAAGTAATCGATTATTAATCGATTATATCTTACAAAGTAATCGATTACAATCGATTACAGGACAAATGTGAGTGTAATCGATTAAAAATCGATTACACAAAATTCCTGTAAGTAATCGATTATTAATCGATTACATTTTTCAGTAATCGTGTCCATCCCTGATACTCTGCACTTATGGCCATTGAGCACCTACTGCGACACGGGACCTCGGTTTATACGGTCTCATCCGAAGACCGGTCTCCAGGTCCCACAGTGGGATTCGAACCCACGACGTAAGGATCAACACCTTACTTCGCGACTCTAGAGCAGACGCTCTAACCACTGTGACACGCGGGCGTTTTTTTTTTTTTTTGTTTTTTTTTTTTTTTTTTTTGTTGAAGAAAATGATCAATTTTCCCTTTTGAAATATAAACAGTACTGTTAAGTATAGATTCTTTTTTTTCCGTGCTGGATGCACACAGAGCTGTTTTTTACAGTGAAATGTTTTATGCTGCTTATGAAATATCAATTTAACTATTTCTTATAAATTCTTTCATTGTGTATTGTGACAAATATAGAAAATATATTCTGAGTGTCCAAGAAAAAATTGAGCCAATTTTAACATAAAACTAACTCTTTTTTTAATAACATCTAAAAATTTACATCATGGACCCCCACTTTTGTTTTAATTTTCAATATATCAGATCAATCTGCTTAAATTCAGCAAAAGTTTAAGACTTTAAAATAATTTTCTTCCTAGTTAAATTTTTAATGCCAGAAATTTGCTTTTTGTGAGTGCAGAAAGGTCAAATAATTGATTGATTGATTGTATGCTGTTTTACGTCCCATTCGAGAATTTTTCACTCATATAGAGACGTCACCATATTCCGGTGAAGGGCTTCAAATTTTGACCTTTACTCGGCACTCAGGGCCATTGAGCAGTGAGGGATCTTTATCGTGCCAACGCCTGCCGTGACACGGGGCCTCGGTTTTTAAGGTCTCATCCGAAGGACCCGCAACTTTCAAAGTGCCGAGCGCATGGCGAAGGAACAGTTGCTACCTATTTTTTATCGACTTAGGTCAGTCGCGGCCGAGATTCGAACTCATGACCTCAAGTTAACGGAGCGAGCGCTCTACCGACTGAGCTACCGTGAATGGTGTCAAATAATTGATTATGCGAAGCAATTTGAAACTTTTTCTTAGTAACAATTTTAATTTGTCTTTTTTTTAAATAGTCTAAAAGTTTATTTTGTTTCATGATTTATTTGGATAAAAACATTGGAGGGAAAACGTCGAAGATGTGATTTTTGACACAAATTTCAGTGCAAAAAGGTCATATTAAATGTACTGTGGCGCCAAAAGAAGCACATTGACCCCCATGTTTTGTTTTGAATTTTAATTAAGCTATGTGTGTAGAAACTAAAAATATACTTGACAAAAAAAAAGTTAAATATCAGGATCCAACCTCGTTAAGCAAATGAAACTGTTGAACACTTGTGCAGGGATCACTTCCACTATTTTAGACATCTTTAGAGTCTAACTAGATGTAAAATCTTTTAATTGTTTTTTTTTATATTCTGACGGGCTATAATGATTAACTTTATACTGACTAAATCATGTAAACTATAATTTATATCTTTAAAAAGCAATATGAGTAAGTATTCATATTGAGAAAAAAAACATTCAAAGCGAATATCATGTGCTTAAAATTATAGATACTGTAATTTATATAACATAGTTATATTTAATTCTAAAGCTCATTTTTAATGTACGCTAGTAAATGTCTTCTACAAGAAATTGTCCACATTACCCTGTTTCCCATTTTTTAGATAATTGCTTTTAAATAACCACCAAATAAATATGTTTCCATTTAAGTAAAAAATATTGCAATTAAACATTGGAATTCATTTATTCTAAAATGCTCAGTATGCAGTATGTAGCTAACAACACAGAAAACAGTAAGTGTTTTTTACCCGGGGCGTTTTACTGTGTCAAAAATGCAATGTAATTAAAACATTTCAAAATATAGAAATAGTTTGGCTTCTTTCTGTTCGTGGATTGGTCACAAGTGTTAGAACGTGTCTGATAATCTCCGGTAGTCAGAGATAGGACTGTTTAGATAAATAAGAGGCCTTATCCGAGAAATATAGTTCAAAAGCCTTTATATATATATATATATATATATATATATATATATATATATATATATATATATATATATATATATATATATATATATATATATATATATATATATATATATATATTTATTTATTTATTTATTTATTTTATTTTAATTTTTTTTTTTTTTTTTTTTTTTTTTTTTTTTTTTTTTTTTGCAGACAATTCATTTCTTAGATAAGTTAGATCAGAATCTGCATATGGGCTACAACATATATTGTCTTGACTCAATGGAGAGATTCTGTTACGACTGGAAGTTAAAAGTTAACACACACAAACCTAATGCTATGATATTTTCTAGTTAGAACTTTTAAAAAGAAATATTTGAAGATAAGTGAGTTGTTAAACAATGAGGTATAAAGAAAACGTCATGGATTTTGTTGGCAATATATAAGCATCTGCGTGTTGTCCTCAACGGCAGTGGTAAATGCATGTGAGAAGTTAGTAAATAGAGCATGTTGGAAGGCATATTTTACAATCAAATCAAAACTACAAATTGAGAGAATTTCAGTCACTCTGGAAAAGGTTTTATGAATCATGCATTATACCAATTTTGACTTACGCTTTTAAACAATTTAAATTCAAAATTCCATTTGAAAAAAAAATCAAATATTCATATTAATTTAGCAGGCAAGGTAGAGTTTTTTGCTCTTCCCATTATTTTCAGAATATAAGAATTTTTGTATATATATCTTTAAAGATAACAGAAAATTCTTTCAAATTAGGAGAACTCAAACTTACAATTACATCAAGGAATATTTAGACGACAAAAAAAGAAATGGGAAAACTTGAATGGCAAAATTGTATACGACGAATACTTAATGATTTTATTGGTTTAAACGCTAAAACAGTATCTATAGATGGTTTTGTAAATAATTTGAAAAAAAGTGTTTCGAGAATATAGTTTTCAGAGACATTGAAAATATAAAAGAAAGGGTAATGGTAAATTGGCATTCTACAGCAAATTCATCACAAAATCAATACAAACCTAATATAGCATTAACTGTCAAACTTTTGTTGATGATGAAGATCATTTTTTTTTCTACTTGTACATGTATGTTCTCTACATTACACACACACACACACACACACACACACACACACACATATATATATATATATATATATATATATATATATATATATATATATATATATATATATATATATATATATATATATATATATATATATATATATACATATATATATATATATATATATATATATATATATATATATATATAAAACAAACTGCGAAGTGAATATTGTACACTTCTTAACAATATATGTATATCTTATAAAATTCTAATTTTTTTGTTGATTTTTCAAAACTTCATATACTGTTCACGGTAGCTCAGTCGGTAGAGCGCTCGCTCCGTGATCGGGAGGTCGTGAGTTCGAATCTCGGCCGCGACTGACCTGAGTCGATAAACCATGGTAGCAACTGTTCCTTCGCTATGCACTCGGCACTTTGAAGTGAAAGTTGCGGGTCCTTCGGATGAGACCTTAAATACCCAGGCCCCGTGTCAAGGAAGGCGTTGGCACGATAAAGATCCCTGAGTAAAGGTCAAAATTTAAAGCCCTTCACCGGTATACGGTGACGTCTCTATATGAGTTAAATTCTCGAATGGGGCGTAAAACAGCATACAATCAATCAAAATTCATAATGTTGATTTTAAGGAAGGAAATGTACATTCATTTAATGTATCCTTAGGTAATGCAGTTCATATGATGTAGAAACCTGTGAAATGTACTGTAATCAATGTGACATAATTAATACATCACTAACCCACCCATGACACAAGCGCGTTACTATATCTACTCCAACTCCGAATAATTACATGTACGCAGGCATGGGATACCAGACTACATATTTATTTGCCTAGAGTAGCACGATCTGAAATAACAGCTTTGTTCAGTATGTTAAATTGTAACTTTAATTATTTTTTGATTAATCAACATCATTCGTTAAAAGATATTAAGCTGAAAAAAGATATTATATCAGAAAAAAAATATCTTTTTTCAGCTTAATAATATTCATTGAAATTCATTAAAAAAAACGGAAAAAAAATTACAAGAAATATCTCATCATTTTTTTTATTTTCAACGATAGGCCGTATGCAGAGACTATAGATCTATTCATTTTCCATCAGGAAAGGAACGACAACTCTCGGTATAGACAAAGTGTTTTTCGACCAACGCCTTCCGGTGAGAAACTCGCCACATCATTATTCAAGGTATACATTTTTTTCTCTGCATGAAGAATGATTTTTTATCAAGAAAGTAATCGAGAAATAGCAATTCTTGGGTCGAACATTTATTCATTAACAAATTTACATGTATACATTAGACATGTTAGATTCCATTATTTGAACAAAAACGAAAGTAGGCCAGTTTACCCTACCTATAACACTGTATAATGTTGTTTAGTATTTTGTGAATCCGTCTACTGGCGATGTTGACCTGATAGAGCTATAGTCGTTTTATTAAATGATAAAAAAAATCATAATTGTATAATTAAGAAATTGAGATATTGATCCTAAAACAATTAAATCCAGCTAGGCCGAGATCCACCATTTTGATGCCTCCATCTGAAAGTTATATTATATATTTCCCCAAATATTATCACCTCAATTTTGGTAAACAATTTAAAATTAATGAATAAGCAGTAAGCAATATTCGTCATTAAGGAGTAGGTTTCTCAAATAATTCCAAAACAAGGAACACAATTATACAAAAAAAACCACTCCGGGGCTAGAATAGAAAAGTTGAACAGCATTTTGTTTTTAATTATCAAATATATATTGCATAAATTGACATATGGTGATCAGCTAATAACAGTATATAGTGGCTTAATTTTAAAGAATGTGAATTAAAATCATTACGGTAAATAAATATCTTTAATTGTAACAGAGTCTCTGAGATATTGAGGAATGGACCCTCATACCAGTGCCCAGGATGTGATGCGATGTGACCTGTGTGAGACCGCTGTGGTACAGATGCACTGTGATACATGTTTTGTCAACCTGTGTAAGGCCTGTGTGGGAGAGCATTTTTCTGCTGATTTTTCAAAACCTCATACAATTGTTGATTTCAAGGCAAGGAAATCTACACTGATTTACCCTAAATGCAGGTCACATGATGTGGAAACATGTGAAATGTACTGCAATCAATGTGACATTCCCGTCTGCAACACATGCATTGCATCTGATCAACACCTTGGTCATAACTTTTTGAAAACCTTAGAAGTTTTGAGTAAAAGAAGAGAAAAGATTATGATGGAACACACAGAATTAAATGAAACAATCTATCCAGCCTACCAGGATATTGCCTGTGATGTAGAAAAAAGCTTAGGTCTCTTACACAAGGAATATGAAAAGCTTTCAGTAGCCATAACAAAACAAGAAGAAATTTGGCAAAGAGAAATTAAAGAACTAGTCACTAAACTTAAATCCAAAATTGATGAAATGAAAAACAAACAGTTAGAAACTCTGCAGAAATATTTCGATGGAATAAAACAGAAAATCTCTAACATCCAGGATGAAATCAATTTAATTGATGATGCTTTAATTTCTACAAATATTTCTGAAATATTCAGCATATTGTCGCCAGTGGATAAATACAGAAAATTTCCAAAGAAAATCATGTTTGCTGTCCCTGAATTTTCTCCCAATAAAATACAGGAAGGTGAATTGTATAATTTTAAGCCTGGTATTTTAGAAGAGCATGAATACAAACTTTTGACGAAATCAGAATCACCAGAAGCTGGTTCCTCTCCTCCAGTCAAACATCTGCTTGATGAACCAGAGGCTGTCACCACCATAAAAATAGATGTTGACTGCTGGTTTTTTCCACAACTTTACAATGTTGCTTGCCTGAGTGCTGAGGAAATCTGGACAAGTGGAAGTGACAAAACCATGAAACTCTACAGCATCAATCAGGGATCACTACTCAAGTCTATTACAACTAAATCAGGGAACAGGCCAGAGAACATAGCAGTGACAAAAAGTGGAGATTTAGTTTATACTGATTATGATGGTAGAACTGTGAACATTTTGAAGAATGAGCAGATAGAGGAGGTGATCAGACTACAGAACTGGAGACCTAGCGGTGTCTTTAGTAATGACCGTGGGGACTTCTTGGTCACCATGTACACAGATAACAAGCAATCAAAGGTTGTCCGTTACTCTGGATCTACAGAAAAACAAACCATTCAGTTTGATGAGACTGGTAAGTTTCTCTTTTCAATTGGTTCTCTTGATAATTTTATCAGTGAGAACAGGAACCTAGATATCTGTGTGTCTGACTGGGGAGCTAGAGCAGTAATGGTGTTCAATCAGGCCGGGAATCTGAGATTCAGGTACACTGGACATACTCCTGCTCCAAAGAACAAACCATTCTGTCCACGAGGAATCACCACAGACAGTCAGAGTCACATCCTTACAGCTGATATTGCCAATGACTGTGTCCACATCATAGACCAGGATGGAGAGTTCCTCCGTTACATTGACTGTGGACTGAGTTTCCCCTGGGGACTGTGTACAGATACAAATGATTATCTGTATGTGGCTCAACAGTTTAAAAAAGAAGTGAAGAAAATCAAATATCAGAAGTGAATTCCAAATTTCCAACACTGCAATAGATTAATATACAAGTGTGAAGTCAATGACAATAACTTTAGAATTTTCTATAGTGCACCTAGGATGGCATTCAGTTATTTTTAACAAATTTTGAATATCTGTATTAAATGATTCAAGAATTTACATAAAATATGGGGGAAAAATTGACTGTGAATTCAACTTTTTCATTTTAACTTTCACTTCTGCGAATATTTTTAGCTAACCCTTTGATGACCAGTGGGTTTAGAGTTAAGGCAAATTATTATAAAATTATTTAATTTTGGTTGTAACGGTGTATTTGATTGGATAAAAAATTAACTTTATATGGTAAAAATTGGGTTGCCTACGTAACAATGACTTACGTCAAAGTTACATTTTAGTGTTTACAATTTGAAGTCATTTTTTTTTAAATACAATCATTTTTTATTACACTAAATGAAGGAAAATTATAAAGAAATATATATAAGGAAAATTATAAGAAATGAATTTAATAGCAACCCAATTTATACTGTATAAAATCAGTTGGAACAGTTTACGCATTTTTATAAATGGCTTAGGTTTCATAAAGCGTAATCTGCCCCAATCCAGTTTATACCGTATAAATTGCTAAGCTATTAAATTCGTTCCTTAATTAAAAACTACTGGGCAAAGCTATGGATAATTATTTTTTTTAATAAAAAATCATTTGTATACATTTTGTCAAGATTTTTCTTTTTATTGTATTGTATTTCTTTGTATTGGTTTTACATTGCAATTCGTTATTTTGGACAGCATGGGACATTGTTATAAAAGAGAATAATTTAATTCTGGTTATAACGCGGCATTTGATTGGTTAAAAATTTGACCTTCTATCGTATAAATTGGGTTGCCTACGTCACAATGACTTACGTCCAAAACGTATCGATCCGCCTGACGTTGCATTTAAAATTTTCAATTTAAAGTCATTTTTAAGGGCAATCATCTATTTTTTCTTACACTAAATGAATAAAAATTAAATTATGAGGAATGAGTTTAATAGCTACCCAATTTATACGGTATAAACTGGGTTGGAATAGTTTACGCTTTTTTATGAACCGCTTGAGGTTCATAAAGCGTAAACTGCTCAAATCCAGTTTATTCTGTATAAATTGGGTAGCTATTAAATTCGTTCCTTAATTGGATTAAAAGACACAAAGGGTTAAAATTAATGTTTCAGAGTGATTGTTGTTTTTGATAAACCCTTTTAAAACGGTTTCCTACAAACTTTCATGCAATTTTATTACACACTAATAAGATTATTTTATACGATGCGATGTCATTTAACCCAGCAAGAAGCAGCTGAAACTGTTAAGAAGCTCCAAGCAGCTTCGGCGCAAAGAATTGTTGCTTTTGATTTTAATGTCAAAATGTTTTTTTAAATTACAATTTCTTTGGACTAAAAGATTAATATTAATGAACTGACTCAACACTACACGTCCAAGTAGCTGTAGAACTGAATAGCTCTCTGGTTGAAAAAATCGGAAGACAATCGGAAGCTACAGATTCTTGTATTGTAAAAATCCTTCGATCTACGGCAACTTTTTTTTTTTTCTTTGTCGCTCGGTTCGGGAATCATGACTTTTTTTCAAACTGACAGTTCGCGGCAATATAGGGCTGATTATATTGGGATGTCACACTGTTTCAATTTTGAATCCAGAAGATACCAAGGCGGGAATGTGACAGGATACTAGCTTACACTCATTAAATTGAGGATTAAATTCAGTTTTTCTTTATTATATGTGATATATTTGAATAAAGAAAAATAAAGCATCATAGTATAATAGTTAAAAGATTAGTTATTGAGTTCCAGAAGATTCATGTACAGTGAATCTACTCTGGTTGTCTTTGATAAATATATTCATTTTGCTAAACATTACATGTATATATGTCACGTTATGCTAAATTGTAGGTTGACATAATGTAGAATTGTACTCACTTGATATCTTCACATTTGTATCCTTGCAATTGGTAGTACTGTTAGATATACGAGGGGAATTAAAATGTTCTGAGAACTGCTAAAATATAAACCATTTCACGGGTTAATAAGTTTATTACCACTGAAAAGAGCTGGAAAATTTGCTCTTATATTAACGTCATTTTCTTATATTTATGACGTAATAAATCCAAAAATGACGTCAGAATCTCGAATGTTTAGAATACTGAAAAGTAGAGTTTTTTGTCCACATGAGAAGATCAAAAAAGTGCTGTCAAAAGCTTCTTTGAAAAGATATTTCAAAGAAAATTTGCATGGATGTACTGTAAGACTGTAAGAATGGTACGGTAGATCAGCAATTCCATATTTTATTTTATTTTTTTTTTTTTATTTTTTTTTTTTTGCTTGGTTAATAAGCACGGTAATGTTATCATGGGCGTTCATAAAAGATTTTTTTTATCTATATGATATAGCTGGATTTTTAGTCTATTATATAGCTCTCAACTATATTAAATTAAAGATATTCTATATCAAACTTTAGTGTAACAAAGCAGTTTTTCACAAATGTATCTTAAGGTTCAGGACTCTTACCGTTTACGAATAAGACGTACAAAAGTCTTCCCCAGGACTTGTTTCTGTGAGTTTTTTTTATATTATATCAACTTCGGCGATCCAAAAGTCACTTTTCCTTTTGATGTCGACTCAAAAAAATAAATCTGAGTTTCATTGCCATGTACAATCTTATTTATTTTCCATGATTTAAAATTTTCGAACATATCGAGTTACGGTGGGATCAGAACTACACAAGCGCCGTTTTGGTTTTTACGAGAAAATATAGGACACCCTTATCTAAACCTCTCTTGAGCTTTAATCGTTCTTGCAAAATTGGTTAAAACACTTGACGAATAAATGCCAGCAAACTCTGTAACATCCTCCACTATTCTCCTGTGATTGTCAACTTTGTGATTTTCTCACAGCATTAACGCCTTGTTTAACCAATATTTTTCACGAGATTCGATAATAACATGCTATGTTTGACACACTCTTAAACCATCTCAGGACTAAAGGAGCCCCTGAATATAACTTAATATTATACACTGTAGTCTATGCAAACATTTTTCCAACTGGCAGTTGTGTCCATTAGCTTGCATCCGAGTAATGAACAAAAGTTGACTTTAAAATTTTAGTTCACTGAATTGTGTCTCTTGTTACGTCATTTTTGTGGTCAGTATCTAGACATTTGAGATTCTCTCGTCATTTTCGGAGTTATTAAGTAATAAAAAGTACAAAGTGACGTCACAATATGAGTATATTCACAATATGAGTATATTTTTGTGATCTGTCCACTGATATCAAATTCAGTTATTTCCGTTAAAAGAATAATATTTTATCAAACATTTCTCAGAACTTTTCAAATGCCCCTCGTACATGTATTCTAAAAGTTTATGTAATATGTTGTATTACTATACTATAGTACACATTTTTTAAGTAAATGAAACTGTTGAACACTTGATAAGGGTTCGGTTACCCTGTTATATATTTTTCTAATTATCCTTTCGCAAAGGAGTTGTAGGGGGCATAGTAACGCGCTTGTGTGTGTGTGTGTTAGCTTTTTGTGTTTGTTAGTTTGTCCTGTGCGAAACCGCTGAGAATTTCTTTTAACAATCTGTTACGATACAAAATTGTAAACAAAATTTGAACACCATTGTTTGGTTCAGGATTTTTGTAGCAATGGTGGATGTGAGCGGTGATAAATATTTTGACTCCATTTCTAGCAATAGACGACAGGAGTACAAACTGAAAGAATACTTAAACAATAAAATGCTTTCTTTGGTTGTAAGTACGGGAATTAATGTCGCAGCTGTTGCAGAAAAAATACATAACCCGCGTAAGCGGGTTATGTGAATTCTTTCTGCAATAGATGCGACGTTAATTCCGTACTAACAAAGAAAGAAAGACATTAATTGTTTATATTTATATCTTTTAAAAAAAAACATTCAAAGTAAATTAAATATGTTGTAGTATAGAGGTGTATGTCATTGTATGCATAATTGATGGAACAGCCGTTGCTTAAGAAATTTTTGCAGGTGGCTTGCTTAGTGTTGTTTATGGACAGATTAATGACAATAGTCTTTATAAGAAATAAAGGAAATAATATTCACTGGATGTAAATATAAAATAAACGATTCTAAAAAGCTTCTGAGATATTGTAATTACAAATATGATTTAGTGACAGACCATACAAACAAAAAATGGATATCTGGATTGGTATATGTTTTGGACCTGTTTTGGTTGTAAATAATGCATATAATAAATTTCAAATATATAAAGATATTATAAACTTTCTGTGATGTTCAAAAGTTTACTTTTCTACAATCACCCTTATTAATCAATTCGACTTTTTCACCTTAAATCTCATTATTGTGAAATTTTGAATGTAAAATTAAAAACTATTAGGTTAAACTTATTCCTTTTCCTTATGTTATCATGACTCAAGGTGTTATTTTCAAGATTTTTGATAAAAGTTTGATTGTATGATCTTTCCTTAATGAAGGGCCTTGGTCTTCTTTATGTCTGAACCCCCAAGTTTATGCCCCCTCCCCCGTCAAAATATTTTCCACAAAATAAATTCCCTGACGTCAACATCATCAAAAGATCTTTGTCAAATAAAAGAAAAAAATCATGGTTCTCTACCCTAATTTTTCGTGACATTGAAAAGAAATGCACAATACACAATTTCAACTGGAATAGCTCTCGACGGCATTCTCGAAAAAAACTTTGGAAAGCTTATAAAATTGAGATTAAAGAATTGAACAGCTAGAAACAACAGTTTCACAAAAGGGTAAAACATGAAACAGAATAGAAAATTGAAAATAATGAAATAGAACAGCTAAAAACAACAGTAAATTTTAAGAATAAAACATTGCCAACAAGAAGATTGAGTTTCCTAATATACTCAAAACACAAAAAAGGATATCGTAATAACTGGATTGCATCTGATAGTCTAGATTGCTGAGTTGTATGGACAGACGCATAGGTAGATAGATTTTTTAAATAATGATGAGGTTTGAGAAACAACTCATATTAAAATTCATATTAAAATCATTAAGAATTTCCTGTGATTATTCATTTACAGATTAGTGATATTACTGTCTGTCACTACAATTTCTCTCTCGCTGCTTTTAACCTAATGTTTTTACACTGACTTATTTGATAAAAAAAAATCTAGATAGGATTTAGACTCAAACAATGTGGATTCATTGATACTGATAGATATATATGTGCAATAGTAATGATTGGAAAGCTTTTCCATCAAATCACACATAAAACAACTAGATCTCTATTCAGGTCAAACAAAACTAAAGACTTCATCATTTGCATGAATCTGTTTAAATTAGCTTCCATCCTGGTCCTGACAATCGTTGTTGAATAAATATTTCATTTTTTTAATTACTTGAATGAAATTACAGTATTTTTAAAGATTTTTTTCCTACTGCTATATGATTATCTCTCTTCCGTGAATCTTTTCTTTTTTTTAATTGTGACAATCAAGTAAATAAAACAACTGACAGGTAAACAAAAAATGTCAGGAAAGGGTCTGTATCGAAACGATTGCATAATTAGTGATATTTTGTTAACTGCAGGTAGATTACATCAGATTCATAAAATCTTTCAAATTCCACATAAACGTTAAATCAACATAATATCTTATAAAAAGTGTTTTTTTCTGGATTCTCGCTTTAAAAGCAACATGCATTAGACTATTGTTCTCCAAAAAATATCGTTTATAGGTAATACATGTAGGTTTATTAAAAAGACAGACTCGCAATCTGGTACTTTATTACCACTGCAAATATTTAAAACATAAAATACATAATAAGACACTTTCATGCATCAGTGTTGTTTTCTTTCCATCATTACATGCGAGGGAAAGGAACGACAACTCTAGGTATAGACGAAGGTTCTGTTTGTAACGCCTTCCGGTGAGGAATTGAAACGAGAAACCTGCAGAGGCTGCGGCAAAGTTTTTGTCATAATTCAAGGTATATATCAGTTTATCAAGGATTATTTCCTTAGAAAGTATACCCATTGCAGCGATTCAAGACTTAAACATTAATTTATTATTAAAGGTATACAATACTAGATTATGTTAGATTTCATGATTCGAACCAAAACGAAAGTAGGCCAGCTGTATGTAATATTTCACATGTTAAAGTTTAGTATTCTATAGACCCCTTCTAGCAACGATGAAATGATAATTATAGCCATAATTAATTGGTCCGACGTTTGTCCTATATCAAATAAATCAATCTACGCCAGTCAAGGGATCCACCTTTTGATGCCTAATCTAAAAAATTATTGTACTTTCCTTTTATAGATTATCAACTCGATTTGGTTAACAAATAATAAAATAACTTAGCAAAATATTCCTCACCTAGGATTAGCTTTTTCAAATAATTCAAATACATGGAATACTTGTATAAAGATCCAAACACCTTAAAGCTAAAATAGAAAAGTTGACGGGTATTTCTTTTTCATTATGAAATAAATCTTGCATTAATTAATAAAGGGTGACCAGCTAATAATAGTGTATTGAAGGTTACTTTTAAACAATGTGAAATTAAATGATAAATGAATATTTTGAATTAAAACAGTTTCTGAGATATTGAGTCATGGACCCCTGTACAAGTGCCCAGGACGTGATGCAATGTGACCTGTGTGAGACCGCTGTAGTACAGATGTACTGTGATACATGTCTTCTCAATTTGTGTACAGCTTGTGTGGGAGGTCATTTTTCTGCTGATCTCTCTACACCTCATAAAATTGTTGATTTCAAGGCCAGGAAATCGACTTTGATTTACCCTAAATGTGTGTCACATGCTGTGGAAACATATGAAATGTGCTGCAATCAATGTGACATTACTGTCTGCAACACATGCATAGCATCTGATCGACACCTAGGTCATAAATTTTTGGAAATTTTGCAAGTTCTGGGTGAAAGAAAAGAAAAGATCATTATGGAACGCACAGAATAAGATGAAACAATCTATTCAACCTACCAGGGCATTGCCAATGATGTAGAAAGGAGATTAGATCTCTTACAAAAAGAATATGAGAAGCTTTCAACAGCCATAACAAAACAAGGAGAAATTTAGCAAAGATAAATTAAAGAACTCGTCAATAGACTAAAATCTATAACTGATGAAATGAAAAACAAACAGTTAGAAGCTCAGCAGAAACATTTTGATGAAATAAAGCAAAAAATCTCTGACATCCAGGATGATATCAATTCAATCGATGTTGCTTTAAATTCTACAAATATTTCTGAAGTGTTCAGTATTTTGTCTCCAGTGAATAAATACAGAAAACTTAAAAAAAAAATCATATTTGGTGTCCCAAAATTTTCTCCGAATAAAGTAGAGGAAGATCAATTGTATAATTTTAAACCTGGTATTTTAGAAGAGCATGAATACAAACTTATGACAAAATCACTATCACCAGAAGCTGGATCCTCTCCTCCAGTCAAACAGCTGCTTGATGAACCAGAGACTGTCACCACCATAAACACTGGGTATGATAGATACCTTTACAATGTGGCCTGTCTGAGTGAAGACGAAATCTGGACAATTGGAAATGACAGCATCATGAAACTCTACAGCATCAATCAGGGATCACAACTTAGGTCTATTACAACTAAATCAGGGAAAAGACCAGAGGACATAGTATTGACAAAAAGTGGAAATCCAGTTTATACTGATTTCTATGGTAGAACTGTGAATATGGTGAAGAGTGAGAAGACAGTGTAGATGATCAGACTACAGAACTGGAGACCTAGCGGTGTCTGTAGTACCTCCTGCGCGGACTTGTTGGTCACCATGTACAGTGATAACGAGCAATCCAAGGTTGTCCGTTATTCTGGATCCACAGAAAAACAAACAATTCAGTTTGATGAGATTGGCAAGCCTCTCTTTTCATTTGGTACGTTTGATAATTTTATCAGTGAGAACAGAAACCTGGATATCTGTGTGGTTGACAATGGAGCTAGAGCCGTAGTGGTGATCAATCAGGCCGGAAAACTGAGATTCAGGTACACTGGACATACTCCTGCTCCAAAGAACAACTATTCAGTCAACAGACAGTCAGAGTCACATCCTTACAGCTGATAATGACAATGACTGTGTCCACATCATAGACCAGGATGGACAATTCCTCAGTTACATAGAATGTGGACTAATTGAACCCTATGGACTGTGTACATATACAAATGATTATTTGTATGTTGCTCAATGACATTTAAGGTATACTTTAATTTATATCAAATGTATACATTTAATCTATTTAAGTTAGATTTTATGATCCTACCAAAACGAAAGTAGATCTGCTGTGCGTAATGTTTAAGTTTAGTATTTTATACACCCGTCTACTAATGATGATGACATAATTATAGCAATACTTAATTAATGGTCGAACGTGTAGAATAAGATATTTGTCCTATAACAACTGCATCAATCTAGGCCAGTCCACAGATGCACCTTTTAGATGCCAGATCTGCAAATTGATATGTTTTCTTTTAAAAGATTATAAAGTCGATTTGGTAAACAAATAATTTAATAACTTATTAATTTATTCATCCTCACTTAGGATTGCGTTTCTCAAATAATTCAAATACATGGAATATTTATATATAGATATAACCGCCTTAAAGATAAAATAGAAAAGTTGACCAGCATTTCTATTTTAACAGTTTCTGAGTGTTGAGCTATTGACCCCCGTACCAGTGCCCAGGATGTGATGCGATGTGACCTGTGTGAGACCGCTGTGGTACAAATGCACTGTGATACATGCCTTGTCAACCTCTGTAAGACCTGTCATGGAGAGCATTTTTCTGCTGATCTTTCGAAACCCCATAAAATTGTTGATTTCAAAGCTAGGAAATCTACTTTGATTTTCCCTAAATGCATATCACATGATGTGGAAACGTGTGAAATGTACTGTAATCAATGTCACAGTCCTGTCTGCAACACTTGCATTGCATCTGATCAACACTTAGGCCATAAATTTTTGAAAATTTTGCAAGTTCTGAGTGAAAGAAAAGAAAAAATTATTAAGGAACGTACAGAATTAAATGAAACAATCTATCCAACTTACCAGGGTATTGCCAGTGATGTTGAAAAGAGTTTAAGTCTCTTACAAAAGGAATATGAAAAACTGTCAACAGCCATAACAAAACAAGGAGAAATTTGGCAAAGAGAAATTAGTGAACTAGTCAATAAACTTAAATCGAAAACTGAGGAAATGAAAAACAAACAGTTAGAAACTCTGCAGAAACATTTTCATGAAATAAAGCAGAAAATCTCAGACATTCAGGATGAAATTAATTCAATCGATGTTGCTTTAAATTCTACAAATATTTCTATTGCTTTCGGTATTTTACCTACAGTGGATAAATACAGAAAACTTCCTAAGAAAATCACGTTTGTTGTCCCTAGATTTTCTCCCAATAAAATACAGGAAGATCAAGTTTATAATTTTAATCCTGGTATTTTAGAAGAGCATGAATACAAACTTATGACGAAATCAGAATCACCAGAAGCTGGATTCTCTCCTCCAGTCAAACAGCTGCTTGATGAACCGGAGACGGTCACTACCATAGTCACTGGGTATAGATATCTTTACAGTATGGCCTGTCTGAGTGATGAAGAAATCTGGACAAGTGGAACTGACAACACCATGAAACTCCACAGCATCAATCAGGGAACACTACTCAAGTCAATCAAAACCAAGTCAAGGAACAGACCAGAGGACATAGCAGTGACAAAAAGTGGAGATCTAGTTTATACTGATACCAGTAATAGAACTGTGAACATTGTGAAGAATGAAGAGATAGAGGAAGTGATCAGACTAAAAAAGTGGAGACCCGATTGTATCTGTAGTACCTCCGCTGGGGACCTCTTTGTTACCATGTTTGGTAAAAACAAACAATCAAAAGTTGTCCGTTACTCTGGATCCACAGAAAAACAAACCATTCAGTTTGATGAGACTGGTAAGCCTCTGTTTTCATTTGATGATTATAATAATTTCATCAGTGAGAACAGGAACATGGATATTTGTGTGGTTGACAGTGGAGCTAGAGAAGTAGTGGTGGTTAATCAGGCTGGGAAACTGAGATTCAGGTACCCTGGATATACTCCTACTCTAAAGAACCAAACATTCACTCCACAAGGAATCACCACAGACAGTCAAAGTCACATTCTTACAGCTGATGCTTACAATAATTGTGTCCACATCATAGACCAGGATGGACAGTTCCTCCGTTACATACAAGACTGTGGAATGCGGTCTCCCGTGGGACTATGTACAGATACAAATGATAATCTGTATATTGCTGAACAGTTTAGGAAAGATGTAAAAAAAAATCAAATATCAGAAGTGAATACCCAGTTTCCAACACTGCAGAAGATTAGGTAGACAAGTAATGCAATAAATGACAATAACTATAGAATTTGCTAAGGTTGCTAAGGTGGCTTAACTGAATGTAAATTCTTAATGCGCTTAAGGAAGACACTCACTGAATGTGAACGGATATTAATTATCTCCATCAAACGCTTTAAAGAAATGTTATAAAATATGAAACAAAACAGAATGTGGAAGTGCATTTAACTTTTTTCATCTTTACTTTCTGTTGAGTTCTGCTTCTTGCTGGGATAAATGGCATCGCATCGAATGATTTAACATTAGTGTGTAATAAAATTGCATGAAGATTTTTATTAAAACATTTTGAAATGGTTTATTCAACAGGCACTTGAAAACACATTGATTTTAACCCTTTGTGTCTTTTCATCCAACCTGTTACATAACAATGACCCACACTGATCAAAATAACGCACTGAAATGGTAAACGCACAACGAAGAAAAAACATGTTAGAAAACTGTCAAAATATTTACAATGATATATGGAGATAACGAACAGTATTTAAGCTCAAAGTCCCTTTAAATAATACGAATCGTGAGCAGAGCAATAACAGACTTCCAAAAACATCAGAGGCGGGATCAGGTGCCATGGAGGAGTTAGCATCCCCTGTTGACCGGTCACACCCGCCGCGTGCTCCTTGTCATCATCGGGTAAACGGAAATCCGCAGATATTTCAGTGTGTAAATAATGGGCTAACAATTAGTATGAAAATCGGCGGTCAACATTGGACCTAATGATAGATTGTATTTGATGATAAGGTCATTCCATAGACCATAGAACTAGCGAAATGATTACTTCAAACGAGACAATTGATTTTTTCTTAAAATCATGATCCCTAACATGTCCAAGTATCTATTACTTACTAGGTAAAATTAGAAACTCTGAGGTGGTGATAGATTTACCCCCCTTCTAGAACTTAAAAGTATAGGTATTATATATATTGAAAATAATTATATAATTATTTGTTAGTTTAATGTTGTTTAATCTTTATTACTTTGTTTGCATATATTATCTAAGCATTCTGAGAAATGTTATTTTAATTAAGAAAATCTATTATGTATATACAATGTTATAAGAGCGAAGATAAGTTGCTTGATATGTCAGGTCAGGTCCATAAGAGCGGTGTCGGTACTTGTAATGGAGCTTAGTTAGGGTCCCATCCCTGGCAGCTGCCAACTTATTAGTACATATTAAAATTTGAAAATGTCTCGTAGGATCTGGGAAATAAATTCGAAAAAAAATCTCGCGCTACAAACATACAATATAATGTTATTTAACAGATTATTACAAACAGTTAAAAAAAATTATAATTCTTGATTGTTATACGACTGCTTACAAAAACTTTTCGAATTAAATGTAGCACAGTGATTAAAGAATAATTTTTGAGGTATTCTTTTAATAAATGTAGGTGATATATTATCTTGATCCTACCTCTGGAATTTCCAGGGGTCCTTGTTTTTTTTAATGCCCTGCTCACAAATTTGTATTGTTTGTAGATTTTTATGAGATCGATCACTGTTCGTTATCTTCACCTTGTCATCTGCTTAAAAGTAGAGATATTTATTAACTGTATACAAATTACAAAAGATTCAATATTGTGAGTACATTTTCGTGTTTCATGTCTGAATATTTTGTACTCCTGTGTCAGTTGCTTTTTATCATAGAAATAATGAATAAAAGTGCTACCTGTATAATTGAAAAAATATTGAGACAAGAAACAAACATCATATTTTCTGTTTAAGAAGGAACAGTACAAAAAAGCCCAGGTGCTTTTAAGAAATAAGTAACTCAGGGGCTTTATTCAAAAAAAAATCAAATACATATTTTAACAATTTTTATTTCATTCCATCGATAAGAACATTTAAAGTGTATTTAAAAAAATCAGTTGCTCTCCATATTTGATTCAGTCTGGTTTGATTTCCCTAAGGGCAGAAAATGGAAGAGATTAAACTTGCGATTTAGAAAAAAACATACCTCAGGTACATGTAAATAGACCAATTGACAGGTAGATAAAATAAGTCTCTACATGTTTTTCTTACAGGTTATATTCTTATTAAACTTTGAAAAATATATATCATTTAAAGTCTGTCAATTTCACACATTGGTCATTAAATCAACACAATAACATGAAAAAAGTTTTTTTTTCTGTAGTCTCTTTCTATGTTCATGGCCGTAGGACCGCGGGGGTGGAGGGGGTTCCAAAAACATTTTACCGATGTATCGTATACTGTAGAAAACTTAGCTACTTTTTGCTTATGGCTCCTCAATAATAACTTCTGATGACTTTCTTTTTGGTTTGTCATGAATGTTTTGCTTGGTATGCCCCCTTTCAACTAAAATGTTTGGTTGTTCCCCCCTCTCGTCAACCACCATTCCTCCGGGCCTATTGTTCTATAATGCAATAAGCTTATTGTTCTCCTCGAGAGATCTTTTTAAGGTTTAGAGGCCTTTTAAGACAAAAACCCGAAATGTAGTAATGGACTACAGACGGTGAGATTAAGGTGAAATACATAATAACATACATCCATGCATTAGTGTCGTTCACTCTCCCTCAATTGTCGCCCGCGTGGCGCAGTGGTTAGAGCGTCTGCTCTAGAGTCGCGAGGTAAGGAGTTGATCCTTACGTCGCGGGTTCGAATCCCACTGTGGGACGTGGAGAACGGTCCTTCGGATGAGACCGTATAAACCGAGGTCCCGTGTCGCAGTAGGTGTTGGCATGAAAAAGACCCCTCACTGCTCAATGGCCGTAAGTGCCGAACATAGGACAAGATTTGCAGCTCTCCACCGGCAAGTGCTGGCGTCTCCATATGAGTGAAAAATTCTCGAGAGGGACGTTAAACAACAAACAAACAAACAAACAAAATCTCCCTCAATTGTATGCAAGGGAAAGGAACGACAACTCCCGGTATAGACAAAGCTTCCTTTGAGCAGCGCCTTTCGGTAAGAAATGAGAACGAGAAACCTGCAGCGAAGTTTTTTCATAATTCAAGGTATATATTTATCCGTTTATCAAGAATGATTTTCTTGGAAATTATTCACCTTCCAGCGATTCTTGAGTTAAGCATAAATTTATTATCAAATGAATATATTATTTATTTACATATAAATCGAACGAAAACGAAAGTTTGTCCTGCTGTACGCATTAATGTTGTTTAGTATTTTATATACCCGTGTACTAGCGATGATGACTTAACAGAATTATAGTCATACTTAATTAATGAATGGTTTATTGTGTTGATCAAAGAAATAATACATGTATAATTTTGGACTTAAGATTCTAGGCCGGGAACCGCCTCTGAAAACTATTTTATTCCTTTTCAAGATTTAGTAAACAAATAATTTAATACCTTACATGTATCAATATAATTGACATTTACGAGTGGGTTTCTCAAATGTAGTTTCAATAGATTGAACACTTCTGTAAAGAATATATACATGTAGGAAAGACACAACAACCCTGAGGCTGAAATAGGAAAGTTGAACAGCATTTTTATTTCATTATGAGTGAAGTAAATACTGCGGAGACCAGCTAATAACAGTATATTGTAGCATATTTTTAAAGAATAAATATTTAAAGAGTAAATAAAAGTTCTTTTATTATAACAGAGTTTCTGGGATATTGAGGCATGGACCCCCGTACCAGTGCCTAGGACGTGATACTTGTCTTGTCAACCTGTGTAAGGCCTGTATAGAAGAACACATCTTAACAGGTGAATCCAAAGATCACAAAGTTGTCAAATTTAAGGACATGAAATCTACAATAATTTTCCCTGAATGCAAGTCACATGCTGTGGAAAAATGTGAAATGTGCTGTAACCAATGTGACATTCCCGTTTGCAACACTTGCATTGCATCTGATCAACACCTAGGTCATAAATTTTTGAAAATTTTGCAAGTTTTGAGCAAAAGAAAAGATAAATAAAGAATGTACAGAATTAAATGAAATAATCTATCCAATTTACCAGGACATTGCCAGTGATGTAGAAAGGAGATTAAGTATCTTACACAAGGAATATGAAAATCTTTCAACAGCCATAACAAAACAAGGAGAAATTTTGCAAAGGGAAATTAAAGAACTTGTCAATAAACTAAAATCTAAATTTGATGAAATGAAAAACAAAGAGTTAGAAACTCTGAAGAAACATTTTCAATTGATGAAATAAAGTAGAAAATCTCTGACATCCAGGATGAAATCCATTCCATCGATGTTGCTTTAAATTCTACAAATATTTCTGAAGTGTTCAGTATTTTACCTACAGTGGATAAATACAGGACATTTCCAATGAAAATCAGGTTTAGAGTCCCTAAATTTTCTCCCAATAAAGTACAGGAAGATAATTTGTATAATTTTAAGACTGGTATATTAATAGAAGGGCATGAATACAAACTTTTGACAAAGTCAGAGTCACCAGAAGCGGGATCCTCTGAAACAGCTGCTTGATGAACCAGAGACTGTCACCACCATGGACACTGGGTACGGATATCTTTACAATGTGGCATGTCTGAGTGATAAAGAAATCTGGACAAGTGGATCGGAAAGTAGTGTGAATCTCCACAGCATCAATCAGGGATCACTACTCAAGTCTATTACAACTATATCAGGGACACTACCAGAGGACATGTCGGTGACAAAAAGTGGAGATTTAGTTTATACTGATATCAATGATAGAACTGTGAAGAATGAGAAGATAGAGAAGGTGATCAGATTACAGAACTGGATATCTTATAGTGTCTGTTGTAGCTATCCTGGGGATCTGTTGGTTACCATGTACAGTGATAACAATAACAAGCAATCCAAGGTTGTCCGTTATTCTGGCTCCACAGAAAAACAAAAATTCAGTTTGATGAGACTAACAAGCCTCTCTTCTACTTTGGCAATTATAATAATTATATCAGTGAAAATCGGAATCAGGATATATGTGTGTCTGCCAGTGGAGCTAACGCTGTAGTAGTGGTGAATCAGGCCGGAAAACTCCGATTTAGATACACTGGGCACACTTCTGCTCCTAAGAACAAACTATTCAATCCACTAGGAATCACCACAGACAGTCAGAGTCACATCCTTACAGCTGATTCTTACAATGACTGTGTCCACGTCATGGACCAGGATGGACAATTCCTCTGTTACATAGAATGTGGACTGAGTCAAGCATGGGGACTGTGTACAGATACAAATGATAATCTCTATGTTACTCAACAGATAAAGAATGAAGTAAAGAAAATCAAATATCAGAAGTGAATTTCTGATTCCCAACACTGCAGTAGATACAGTATACAAGTAGAACAGCAAATGATAATAACTATAGTGTTTTCTATGGTGGCTTACCTGGATGCAGATTCACAATACACTTAGGGAGGCATTCACTGAATGTGAATGGATATTGATTATCTCTATCATATTCTGTAAAGAAATTTTATAAAATATGTATGTTGAAAATGTTGGGTATTATTAAAGTGTAATTTAATTAGAACGTTCATAATTCTCTTGAAAATATACGATTGCATTTATTCTTCTGTATAAATACTCCTGGTGTAAGGCACAGTGTATACAATTACAATTTTTATAGGAAATTAGGCCAATGTGCACTTATTATACAAAGACAAATAAAAATTTTGAATTATTGTTGTAAACCACTAAAAACTAAAAGTTGCACTCCAAAATCCGCTTTTAAATGCATGCACCCTTATAAAAAAAAAGTTTCAAAGTTATCACAGTAGTAAATCAAAGTTTTTAAAGTTATAACTATAGTGTCATAATGATTTCTTTAATAAGTCAAAGTTTTCAAAGTGATCACTCTAGTGTCATTAGTTATCACTGTAGTAAATTGAAGTTTTCAAAGTTATCAATATAGTTAATCAAAGATTTCATAGTTATCACCGTAGTAAATAAAAGTTTTCATAGTGATCACTATAGCATTTCAAAGTTTTCATAGTTTTCACTATAGTGGCATAGTGATTAGTGTTCACTATTGTAAAATAAAGTTATCAGTAAAGTAAATCAAATTGTCAAAGTTATCACTATAGTTACATGTAACAATAGTTTTCATAGTGTCAAAGTTATCACTGTAGTTAACTATAGTTTTCATAGTGTCAAAGTTATCACTGTAGTTAACTATAGTTTTCATAGTGTCAAAGTTATCACTGTAGTTAACTATAGTTTTCATAGTGTCAAAGTTATCACTGTAGTTAACTATAGTTTTCATAGTGTCAAAGTTATCACTGTAGTTAACTATAGCTTTCATAGTGTCAAAGTTATCACTGTAGTTAACTATAGTTTTCATAGTGTCAAAGTTATCACTATAGTTAACTATAGTAAACAATAGTTAACTATAGTTTACTATAGTATTTTTAGGACAGTCTCATGCAGGAAATTAGACACGAACTACATGTACTTTAAGTTAAAACTTGGTATGTGATAACATGAATTATTTATGCCGGCTTCGGAAGAGTTTTGGATGAAAAAGAAAATGATAAACACTTCTCAAAATTTATGCACGTGTTTAAAGACAGAATTTTTATATCTATGTTCATTTGTATGTTAGTGTTGTATGTACGTGCGTATGTACGAGATGTATGAACGTTTTTATAAACACTTTTTGTAAAAGGCAACCATATTTAATAAAATATATCCAGAGTTATCTAAATAAACAAATTTCTCTCAGCAAGAGACTTTCGTCACATGAAATCCAGAAGATATAAGGCAGGGCTTGACTCGACACTACTATGCACTCCTTAAATTGGGGATGAATTTATTTTTTTTTTCCTTCTATGTCTGATATTTAAATTTTAAAAGTGATATATCATACTGTCTATAAAGATTATATTAGTTCTTGGGTTCCATCAGATACAGTGTATCTACTCTGGATGGTTTAGGGAAATAAATCCTTTCTGCTGTTATGTCACATTATGCTGAGTTGTCAGAATGTCCCAAAGAACTTTATTCACTAAACTTCTACACATATACTTGCAATTAGTACCATTCCTGTATACATTCTTAACATTTTATGTAATATGACAGGCCTGTAGTATCCTTTTTGAAAGGGGGTAGCCCCCTCCCTCCTGCTATGACGTATTACTTTAACATAGTATACATTTGATCCTGTATACAATTGATCAACGGTCCTATTCCCTGTTTTAGACTCAATGTAATTGAGTGTAAATGGGCTGTAATGCCTAAGTTTAATACTGACTGAATCATGGAAACTATAAAACTACGAGGGGTGATAAAAAAGTTCGCGAACTATCTCCATATTTACAAAACCACAATTCAGATCAGAATGAAATTTGGCACACATATAGTAATACACATGTTCTATAAATAACAGATGTTATATAATGTTTTGATCCGTGTTTGTGACGTCACAAAGTGAAAATGACGTCAATATGTAGGTGACTTGTGACAAAAAATGGTTGACTCACTCGTACTCGAGAAACAAACGGCTGTAAAGTTTAACGTATATCTTGGAAATTCCTTTGCAGTAGAATATGATAATTTGTACAAGGTTTATGAAGACAAAAAACTTACCAGAAGTTCAATCAGTAATTGGATTGATTGTTTTAGTGAAGGCAGGGAGATGGTTAAATGTAATATTTGTTTTATTACCCAGCGAAAGCAAGCCGGGGAAAAGATGTTTCCTTAGTTGAGCAATTTGTTATGAAACCTCGCAAACTTACGATTAGAAAAATAGTTGAATATCTGAACAATAATATAATTATTAAATCCCTAAAATATCGTTTACTTAAGAATTTAAACATATGAGATATGATAAAAAGAAGGCGCCCATACTTTATCCACATTGGATAAACGACGCTCCCGAGACAGAGGACTCGGGTTGTGATGGTCACCATGCTAATTCTGGGAAGGGATATCCTTGTCCACCTATCCTATTGCCGAGATTTGGCCATTTCTGACAGATGAACTGTTCTTGTTATAAAAAATAATTTGCATGGTAAGAAATATAAGACTCGGAAAAATCTTTTAGCTTCTGTGAACAAACCGCTCAGGAGCATGTCACGTGACCGCCTTGATCAAGTGATTCGCGCATGGGCAAAACAATGGCAGATGTGCATTAAAATCGGAGAAGACCACTTTAAAAAATAATAAACACTGAAACCTCATTTTATTTCTTTTAAAGAAGTAATTCAATTAGTTCGCGAACTTTTTGATCACCCCTCGTATGTCCATTCTTTTGTCAAATTTGCAAAATGATTTGGTAATCATATTCACGCAAAACATAAAAATAAAATAACTGCGATATGTGCTATGAAATAAAAGATACTGTGTAGATGTAGTTATATTTATCTCTAAAGCTCATTTTTAATGTAACCTATTTAATGTCTCCTACAATAAATTGTCCAAATTATCTTGATTCTGTTCCTTTTTTTTTCTTTTGGATAATTGTTTTCAAATAAACACAAAATAAATTCCGTTTAGGTTACATTATAGAAATTAAATTTATTGGCATTCGTTCACTTTAAAGTGTTCAGTATTCAGTATGTAGCTAACGACAAAGTGGTTTCAAAAATGCAACTAATAATCAATTGACTGAAATATTTAAACCTCCAGAATAGCCATAAGAGTACTAAGAAAGCAATTAAAAATTGATTGACTGTATGTTATTTAACGTCCCATTCATGAATTTTTCACTTATATAGCGACGTCACCGTATGCCGGTGAAGGGCATCAAATTTAGACCTATCCTCTGCACTCAGGGCCATTGAGCAATGAGGGTTCTTTATCATGCCAACACCTACCTTGACAAAGGACCTCGGTTTTTAAGGTCTCATCCGAAAGACCCGTGACTTTCACTTCTAGTACCTGACGCTTGGCGACGGAATAGTCACTACCTATGTTTACGTCTTAGGTTTGACGCGGCGGGGTGAACAAGAATCGAACCCAGGCCTCCGGGTATATTATTATAATAATACATTATATTCACCTGCACGTGACCTTCCAGGTGAATGTAAGGATTCATTTTTTCTACATTGGTCTAAAAATAGATCGGGAAATTCCAAATTGATACAATAGTTTTTGGAAAACTATTTCACTTGCTACCGACTTCCGCTCAGGTAAAAATAAAATTAGGGAATATATAATATGTGGTTTTGGGGAGGGTACAGGGAACCCAACCCCCAACCCCCCCCCCCCCCCGAAAACTCTTTTGGAACATAAATTTTTACTTTAAATTTAGACTTAAATATTCAATGAAGGGCTGGTCCCCCAAAATGGACCTTGATCCCCCAACTCTAACTCCACCCCTACTTCTAAACAAAATTTGAAGTTAATAGAATTCTCTTTTCGTTGGGGCTAATTAAAGATTTTTTTATCAGCTGTCATTTTTCCCCTTCCTTCCAAAATCTATCATTTGAAAGAATCTGATATTATTTCCTTTTTTAGAGCAACTAAAGTAGATTTAAGAAGAATTAAATTAATACGACTGGTAATGTTAATTTAATCCTATTGCTTCTCTCATTGCATTTGGATGTGCTAGGCTTCAGCAAATGTAAACAAGTAATATTGCATGAACTGCTAAATGAGTTTCATTCATTTCATCATTGTATCATATAATTAAACAATTATTGTTGTTTTTTCAGTCAATACGATGATTTAGCCACCTTTGAAATAAAATATTCACCTCGCCCCTCGGGCTCGGCGAATATTGTACTCCTCAGGTGCTTAAATCAGCGCACTGACCACGAGAACAGCAGTAATTGTTTAATATATTTTAGGATAAGAGAATTATATAAAGTCTATGATAATTTATAGTTATTTATGATGTAGATGCATTTAATATGCTGGAGCTTGCCTATTCCCTCAGAATGGTATGCTATTGTTTTTATGATCTATTGTTTATTTACAAAAGGTATATACGCAGACTTCCTAGAGAATATCGCAGTGCACTCTGTGCCTTCACTTTTTTGAACTACCAATATATGACGTCATAATGAAAAATGACGTCAGGTCAATGCAAACTTGAGCTATTATGACGGGGAAAGTTTCAAAAACTCTACGCCTTATTTCAAATGGCATGTTAGATATTAGAACGCTACTGCAAATTCAAATTCACATGCACAAAGTATAAATTCCAAGGGAGTATGGATTATGTTAAATGAATGTAAGAGTTATCTCCCATTATGCAGTATTGTGTATAATATTGGATTGTGCATTAATGATTTTATGATATTCTCAATATTTCAGGGCAAATATTATTTATCTGTTAAATTAACGACAGTACACAA